TACTCATTTAGAAAAGCTCATTGATTTGTGACATACGTAGTAATGTTGATGTCCATTTAGAAGAGCCTGAACACATCTGATTGGATTATAAATTATTTTTATCCTTCATCTTTTTGTTCTTACTTCTTTATTCAGATTGGAGTCTCTGCAGGTTGTCAGGGGTCAGCTGTGATTATCTGGTCTCCCAGCTCTGAAGTCCCCTCCTACCATCACAGAGGCTGGTTTTTTTTATTTGAGTGGCAGCAACATGGGGTTAGGAAGGCCAAGCTGCTGTGGGTTTTCTGGAGAGTGCTGCTTTACTGTAGACTGGAGACCTCTGAGGTCAGACACCATTTTTTCTTTCTGTGCTGAGATTAATATGATGTGAAAGTTGTGCTTCCTGACAGTAAAATTACAGGAACATAAACCTGATATTGCTGCTTTCACTGATCCACACTGAGTATCTTAATGCTAAAGTCTGTTTTCTTCTTCAGTGGTTTTTAGTCCATTGACTGTGTTTGAGTAATATTGACTCCACCTTTAAAACCTGAATATATAACCAGAAGATCTACCGCAGATAATTCACTGCCCTATTTCCATCTTATTATTACCTTTATGTGTTTTAAAATTGATGACAATAAATATAATGAATAAATCAATAATCTCTATTTCAACTATCAGACAATAACATCTAATAATGTCATTCTTATCATTATTATTATATAAATATTGTTTATTATTGTTGGTATCATTATTTCATATTTTATTATTATTATCATTGCTTCATTATTATAAACATTATTATTGTTATTATTATTATCATTATTATTATGTTATTATTATTGATATTATTATTGATATCTATTATTATTATTATTATTATTACCACATTTTAAGTAGTATTGCTTTAGGTTGAGGTAGGTCCTGTCATTTTATTGTTCTTGTGTTTTTTTTTTTTAAATGTGTTTATGTTAAATGGAATAATCTTCCCTTTTCTTTGAGAAGTTATTTAGTATTTGTATGAGTTTATCTCAAATCAAAAATGTCACAGGCATATTTAGTATCTTTGTAAACTTTTGGATCTTAGGTGGGTGAGACCTTCAATCAGTTTCCCTCTTGGTTTTCTTTGTGTTTGGCTCTTTAACATGAGTTTTTTTATATGATAGACCCACTAGAGGTAGAGCTGGCAGTTTTAAAAAAAAAAGAGCTGAAGTCACTGAAATGCCTCTATTGAAATGTATAATTTGTCATTAATAACAATGAGAGAGCTCTTTTTATCTTTTTGTATTTTACTATCTTGCTTATTCTATCAGAAGAAATAGATACGCTCAAGGGAGGATTGATGGAACAGGACAATGGTTTGAAAAGAGTAGTAACAAATAAGCACTATTGGCAGCAGTGCCACCTTACCCCTTTAAGTGCAAAGCCTCCACTTGCATCTATTCAGTCATGACTGAATTCCTTTCTTGTATCCAGAAGTTATCAACAAGTCCGAAAATGACACTGAATAACGCTCAGTAGAAAACAAAACTCTTCACAGTATGAGTTATGAAATATATGGGCCCAAAATAATCAACAGACCAGAGAGGAAAATTCAAAGCACTTTGCTTTTCACTTTAAGGGAAGGAGAGAATCAAAAAACAGAAAAGTAAAGTATTGGATAAATCCAATATTCACAGTTTGTCCTTCTTCAGTGTGTTTGTGTGATTATTTATCTAGATAGTGAACTTTATGTTTTTATTATCTATTATGAAGATTTGTTCTCTTGCCCACTTGTGTACACAGTAGAAACTCTCTGCTGCTTTCACCCTCCCAGGTCCAAATAATGAATGGAAGCTTGGTTCACAACAGCTATCAGAATCCACCACAATAAGGAAACCAACCTGTTTAGTTTAGTAGTAGTATTTATCTCTTCAACCTGTTTTTAATAATCTTATTCATCTCGTTAATCTCTCCTTTATCTATTTATCTTAATTGTACAGTATTAACTCTCTTTTTTACACACACTTTTTTATCTTATTAAAATCAATGAACATGAATTGTATTCAATGACCACGTTTTATGCAATGGACAATAGCTGAAAATGCCAACACATTTTTATATATATATATAATCTTTTTTTTTTGTGTCTCATGTCAGCTTAATGTACATAATTGATGTGTTGTTAGCGATGGACGACGCGCAATCGTAGTTTTGTCAAGGAAGTTTTAGTAAGTTATCTTCTGCCTAGATTCAAGGTTCACGGCTGTGTATTGTTTGAGAGCTCAACCAACCAGCTTTCTTACAGCGCTGTATAACAGGTGCTAGGAAGACGACGAGAGAGTGACGTACAGTGCCACAGCTCAACAGCATGTTTACGCTCTATCTCCGGTTGGGTTTTAAACACTTTATATATATCACAGAATCATAACTTCCCATACACCACGGTGGAACATATTCAATAAAATAGAAGTAATTATCTGTGGCGATCTTTTTTGCTTTGCGCGCTAATCCTTCATAGCATTTTCCGAAGGCGGTTTCACTGGATAATAATCAATATCCCCACCGCGGTCAGCTTTGACAATTTTCCCTCTTCCTTGTACGAAGTCCTCCAAAATGGTAATTTTGCCTTTACAGTCAGTTATCAACTTCGTCAACCTCCACTCTCTACTCCCGTGGAACATGTTTGTTCATTCATGAAAAATAAACAGAAAAAGGCAAAACTAAACAACTACATGCAGAAATCTACTGCTGAGCTGTGCATGGTTCTACATTGTTAAACTGTGAACATTGGGGATTACCTGTGTGTGTGTTTATTGGGTGTTACATTTTATTCTTTATTCACATTGAAGAGCTGCTGGTGTGGACGGGTGAGATGGTTGTCAGAGATCAGCTGTGATTATCTGGTCTCAGCTCTGAAGTCCAACCCCTCCCATCTGTGAGAGAGCTGGACCTCAGGCTAGGCAACAATCTGCGGGATTCGGGAGTGAAGCTGCTGTGTGGTTTTCTGGAGAGTCCACACTGTAGGCTGGAGGCTCTGAGGTCAGTTCACTGACTCTCTGTTACTGTTGTAGATCTGATATGTTTAATTAACAATTAATTCAGACCTAATTTATGTTCATAGTAACATACATCCATAAAGTTTTAATAAGTTACTTTGTTCATATTTTCCTTTTTGATGGATTAAATTTAGTCATCATGATCCCACAGACTTGTGTTTGTTAAAGAAACTGTAGAAAATGTCCACTGTTAGTTGTTAAAGTAAATGAATGTTTATAATTGTTGGTAAATGGTCACATCTGTGGATACAGAAGATCCTCTGAACTAATATTTGTTTTTATTAACGTCTGATCAATGGTATTGATCCTACAGAACACACACACACACACACACACACACACACACACACACATAGTTTCCAATTAATTGGCTGAACTCCCCCCCCATAGTTTCATCATGAACCAAAAATATCTTTACATTTCTCTTTAACATTGTGTTTTGGGCCTTTTCTGCAGCAAACGCGTCTCACTCAGTAAAAGTATCTGTGATGGATAAACTAGTGACAATCTGCCCTCGCTCTGCCCCCTCCTGTACAGTCTACTGACAGTCACCCTGCAGAGACACAGAGACAGGCGCTCTCTGTGCAGATACAGTCTTTATTTTAACCAGTGCAGACCAGATAAAGCAACAGTGAACAGCAGTGAACACATCAGCTGGTGCCAATAGATTCGTTACCACGTTGGTTTTGATGGTTTTGATTGGCTACATCATTAACAACGAGCCCTCCTCCACACATTGTTCACTTGCTGATGTAGAAACAGAATTGAATTGAATAGTGATATACACCAATCAGCCATAACATCATGACCACTGACAGGTATTCTAGGCCTGACTGAGATCAGCAGCATGCTGTTAATCAGGGTTGACATGAATAGGTGTATTAATGTTGTGCTGACATTATGATGATCCACAATAACACAATGACAAAGTCACTCTACTCATTTTAGAGAAAAGTTCATTGATTAGAACATAGTAATGTTGATCTCCACATTTAAAACCTGAACACATCTGATTGGATTATAAATGATTTTATCTAAATATCTACAACTTTTATTCTTTATTCAGATTGAGTTACTGCAGTTTATCAGAGATCAGCTGTGATTATCTGGTCTCAGCTCTGAAGTCCAACCCCTCCCATCTGAGAGAGCTGAACCTGAGTCTGAACAACCTGAAGGATTCAGGAGTGAAGCTGCTGTGTGGTTTTCTGGAGAGTCCACACTGTAGACTGGAGACTCTGAGGTCAGTAGAGGGTTGGAGTCAGTCCATGCTGGTTTCAGCAGTATTGTACTAAACACAGTTAGTATCAAAGCAAAGATCCAGTATTTGCTGCTTTCCTCAGTGAAGCTGTGAGAGGAGGATGGTGACAGACTTCAGGGTTGGACAGAAAGACAGACAGAGACTGTAAACACTGATTATTGACTTCTGTTGTCTGTCTTCTTCTCTCATCAGCTGGAAGTGATCTCAGTCAGAGTGTGAGTGGTGAGGAAGGAGGTTGTGTTGGAGGATCAGCTGTGTCCTGATGATCCAGAGAGGTTGAAGCAGCAGCATCAGCTCTGACTGGGCCATGTTACTGGGAGGTAGAGTGGAGAGGAGAGCTTCATCCAGCAGTGACTGACAGAGGAATCACAACCAGTGGAGATGACTCTCAGTGCTGCAGTCTGAACTGCTCTGAGATCAGCTCCACTGTCAGACACAATGTCAAGTCCACCATCATCCCTGTGTGTTCCTCTGGATGTGACAGAGTATCATCAGTGTATCTGGACTGCTCTGCTGCTGCTCTGTCCTTCTACACAGTCTCTGCAGACACACTGAGACTCCTCCACTCCTTCTGCTCCACACTCAACCACCTCCTCCACCTGGAACCTCCACCTGGATTTTATTCTTTCATTCATTCACATATTCTGAACCCAAACTGCCTCTACACATTCATTCTGTTTATGACAACAGAACTGTAGATGAACACTGACTTAAACACATTTCTTTAAACAGAGTTGCAGTTAATGTTAATTATATTTCTAATTCATTTAGTTGAAACTTTAAAATCAGCCTGCATACATAAAGTTACCTCTCTGGAGTTCTGGTTATTACCAGATACAGATTTATTGTAACACACAGAAACAAGAATATTAAACATGTAGAAAGTTTGGATTTAAGTTTAAAAACTGAAATATGATTATCATTATTAGTAAAAGATTATATACAGTTACTTTTTAAAACACTGCAAAGTCTGGAGATAATTATCTGTGGGTTTGTCTTTGGAGACGACCTCCCTTTGTTTCACGTTCTCATTTGATCCATTGTTAATATGAAAATATTGATTCAAATCATTCAAATTCAAAAACATTTTAATAACTTGTTGTATAATATTGTTTCAGTTTTGACATGATATAAACATAATAACTATAAACTTTGGTGTCATTATCAGTGATTATATAGATATATATATATATCATATATATATATGTTCCTTTTTAAAAATATATATTGTATTGACAGTTATGTTATTGCAACAAAAACAGATCCTGATATTTAAATCTAATTTTGTATTGTCTGTATTATTCTTGTTTTTTTCTCCAAATTGTCTGTAAAAATATTGAATAAAAAATAGAAAAACTATTAAAATGCAATGCAAAGAGATGTGTTCTACTTATTCTTTTATATATATTTATAATCATTTCTGGTATTGATGTTGTGTCACATTATATGGATACATTTGAAATTCAAATTGAGATTTTCCTTGTAAATATTCTTTCAATAGGATGAACTGAAACTGGTGAAACAGAAAGGATGATGCAGGAATCGAACCTGCACCACCGCTGTACGGCCTTACCTCACAACCCTGAAGGTCCAAATGTCAAACTATCACAGTGGCATGTGAATGCAGCACAGAAACAACACACCTGCACACAGCTGTAGTTTAATCTTTTATCTGTACACAATGTAAACATTAATAACGCACACACACTATATCTTTATATCTTTAACATCACTCAGCAGAGCAGTTAAAGACATTTTACTCCAATACGCAGTAATTCTTTACAAAAGAAACACATTAGAGTCACCGTCAGTCGTTGTACAAAATATTCACACGCAGCATCTGGCCCCGCCCACAACACCTGACATCACAGTGACATCACCTGAGCCGCTTACAGTCAGTCAGTATAATGCTGATTATCATCAACCTGGTTATTGATCTGGCAGGTTTCTGATCAACTGAGTCAAAAAAAGAGTAAAGTTTTAGTATTTTAAGCCTTCGTTTGTCAAATGAATAATGTTAATGAAGCGTTTATTATCACAGCCGACTGATTCCTCATGGTTTTATTAGCACTTCCTGGGAACACGTTACTAATTTCACTGATTTTCATAAATGTTTTTCTTCCACATTCATCAGTTCATGGTAGAACAATTCCTCTAAAAGTATCTTTGATATTCTGCTGAAAATAAAAAGGATTTGATTAAGAGATCCTCATCGAAATGTTCATCAATATATATCTGTGATCAGTCGAATCCATCCCATAATATCAGGTAGACTTTATTCTTTATTGCAGGTTTGTAGTTTGTCCTTGTTTAGCTCCAGAAACCTGGATCAGGTGCTGACGTGCCACCGTACAGGGGTAATAATCCGGTTAAACCAGGGACCACCAAAGCCTCACATTCAGCCTGCAGAATATATTACAATATTTCTATATTCATATTATAAGTGTTGTGAAGTTAAATGACATTAAAAGCTCTTCTCTGTATTATTCTTTTATTAAATGCTTTGTTTCACTGCCTGACTGGTGGAGGGATAATCTAGTTATCAGTCAGTTATCAGAGTGTGTTCACACCGATATAGGATCATTCAAATATCACTCATAAAGAAGCTCTGGCCGTCGGTCAATGTGGTCGAAGATCCCGGATTCAAACCACAATCATCTGTTCCCTGTGGTGGTCCGCCGCCCCGTCAGGTCGTCTCCTGCGCGTCCGAACTGACGGAGAGCCGGTCCGACCAGTCTGCCGTGATCCAGTTTCCAGTCTGTGTGTGGTTTGGTCCCGGTGGTTCACACGGGTGGAGGGCTTCATCAGGGCCTGATCCCCAAACAGCTGCTTGAAGTGAACCACATGCTCCTCACAGTGCTCTCCTGGTAACACACACACACACACACACACACACACACACACACACACACACACACACACACACACACACACACACAGGTTTGGTCCAATGACTCTGAACAGTGCTTCAATAAAAACGAACTCATAACAACCCCATTTTATATTTAATATTCCTCCCACACGTCCTGGAAAACCTGGAAATTTGAAGAATTTAGAGTTTTTTCCGTCATAGAAACAATAAATATTCCAAATATCCCTGAAATATTGTGTGTTGTCTGGAAATTTGTTGCCCTCAACCTTCCTCTGTGCCACTGTTGTATGTGAGACTCATCCCCACGGTCGGCTGTGGTTTCGGTGTTTTGGCTCACCCGGGTTGAAGTTGGGACTTCCTCTCAGCCGTTGGTTCCTCTGCTGGAACGACCTGAACACGGTGTAGAACAACATCTGGTCTCCGGTCTGCTGCGCTGCGTCCAGAAACTTCCTCGCCGACACGTTGTCGTGGCCGCCTGCTCCCAGTGAAACCGGGTTAGTTCCCCGGGCCTTCTGCGTGTATTTTGGTAGATAAATCAAACATCAACGTACCGACGCTGCGGATGAATCTGAGCGAGCCCAGAACCTGCTGCTTCGACAGCAGAACCTCGACGATCTCGTCGTTGGCCGTGGAGAGACGCTGAAAACACACAACGGCAATTCAAATAATAATTCCACTTCAGTAAAGAGTGGTTCTGTACACCCGGTGTGTGTTCGATACCTTCAACATGTCCAGTGACAGCTGGTGTGCCGGAGGGTACGTACTCTCCAGGGACAGCAGCAAACAGGCCTGAACCCACAGAAACAAACAAGGGATGTTAACGCTGCAAAAGAAAGCAAATTAAACTCTGAATAGTTGAGTGAAGGTTCAGCTCTTCGTCCCCAATGAGCTCATCACTCCTGTATCTATATCTGTCTTCTTGTCATTATGTAAGAAAACCTTAAAAAGTTTCAGGACTCTAAAGTTGATCTTATGCTGCAGCATATTAAACGTACAATATGTCCTTTCTGTCACCAGATGTTTGATGAAGCAGCGGGGATCATGGGAGGTTTCTATCCACAGAGGTGTCCTCCTCTCCAACACAAACAGACCGCTGATTAAAACCACTAAACACACTGAATAAAGCAGTTCCACCTTAACAATCACTGCTTCTCCCACGCTGTTGGACAGACAGAGGACGTCCCGGAGGGGCTGCGAGCCGAGCTGCTGCTAACGTTAGCTCAGCTTGTTTCTCTGATAACTTAAGATCCAGACGTCCGATGACTAAAATCCTTCATCCGGTTCAAATCTAGAGTTAAAAAGCACCAAGATCTAAACAGTGGATGGTAACAATGTGTTAGAATGAGCTGACCAGTGGTTTGGAGTCGCTGAGGACGTGGTACTGCAGGAACTGGTGCAGCATGTAGAAGAGGTTGTGCTGCACCAGTGTCTTAATCACCAGCTCATACAGGTAATGCTGAAAGACACAATGAGAGAGAAGTTGAGCCGGCAGCAATGTGAGGTTTGTCCTGAAGGTGGCAGCAGAGGAGACGGTCAGTCGGTACCTGTACGGTGATCTGGAACTGGTTCAGAGAACGGATGTACTCCATCAGAACCGCAATGATGAACTTATGGGAGACACCCTGCAGACACAGAGCATCATCTTACACATCACTCTTGTTACATAACGGAGCATTTAAAAGCAGATTTCTGTCATTTGGATTTAAAATCACTGTATTTCTTTACTTTTTCTGTCCAAGATTTCATTCAGTGAGTTCAATTATTGTGTTTGTAAAGATCTGGGATCGTTCTCTCTCGCCATATTAAAACACAAGGTCAGCATTTTAACATCGATCCACTCTCAGCTTCATAAGTCAGGTTCCTGTGTGTGTGTGTGTGTGTGTGTGTGTGTGTGTGTGTACCTTCCTCTCGGTGAACGACGACAGGACGTGTGTGTACATGTCTGATTGGTCGATGACCGCCTGAGTTCGGACCGGACGTTTCTGGGCCGCGCTGCCTCGACTCGGACCGGACTCCATCGCCTGCACACAGAAAACACTAACATCACATCTCACATAGAAAACATACAAATACACGTGTACAAGATAATATTACTGAGTGCAGGACGCTGACTGACTACAGTACTAGAGGGACGGCATCATATCGCCTACTGTACAGATCATATAATAGATATTACAGTTTATAATATTATAATAGAAGAGTTAAATAGACAACAAATAACAGACAGACAGAAATTAGAAGATTTAAAAGGATTAAATGAGGATTACAATAACAGTAAAGTCTCTAAATGATCTGTGTAAGAGTATCACATTGTTCCTAAATACGCGGTTCTGTTCTGACGTGTCACTATGATGATGATGATGATGATGATGATGAAGAAAAGCGCTGCAGGTTTGTGGCGTTCAGCGAGGACGTCACTCACCACGGTGTAGGTCTGCTCCGCCTCCAGGTATTCTTTATACACCTGGTTGAGCTTGTCGAAGACGGTCGCCACGACGGGAAGACTTCCCTTCTCCCCGCCCTCCAGAACTGAGAGCGAGACAGAAAACGTTTCAGACAAAACAACACAAAAGCTGATTTTCACCGCGTCACCATGGCAACGTTGTTCTTCGAAAATCCTTAAGATTCATAAGATGTTATCATCCTAAGGGACCTCTGACAGAATTTAGGCAAGATCTGGTCAATCTGCTGGAAGGTATAAATGAAAGTATAAAAATGACATTTCCTTTCACCACTAGGTGGCGCTCTCAATATTAGTGAATATTATCACATAGACATGTTCAGGGCGGGACTCTTATCAAACATCTGAAGTCCATTGAGACCGGATCATGTACTCAGAAGTTGTGACAAATCCCTTTTTCATAACGAGTCTCTGAAATTCCACGCCGCGAGCACGTCACTCGATGGATTGTCATAAATAGCACAACTTTTAATCATGAAAGTCTTTAGATGGCTGTGTCCAAATCGATCCGATCAATTCCCTAGGAGGAGGAGTTCAAATACAACGTGTGCGAATCGCCCAAAATGACCACTAAATCTAAAATGGCCAACTTTCTGTTGGGTTTGGGATATGGCGCCCACTGGATGTTTTGTTCGTCTGGATAAGATCTACGCGTGTGCCGATTTTTAAGCATATCGGGGAAAGGGGCCCCGGGTGGTACAGTTTATGAGAACTTAAAAGAACATGAGACTGCACTGTACTGATATATAAAACTATATTAGACAACCATGAGCATAAAACCTGAGCAGATCAAAGTTTGTACATTTGTTCCACGATGACCAAAGATGATGAATTTAGTTTGTTCCAATCAAAGCCGCTCTTTACACCTTGGAACTATTTTCACACAGATGCTGAATTTGATCCTGAAAGACTTTTGTTTGACATTTGAACCTTTTTTTTCTTCACAGAAAGTTCTTACCAACAAAGTTCAGTTTTAGACTCAAAGTTGAATATTTGTTCATATTTTAATATTTGAGTCATAGAAACACTTTCCCTCTTATTGTGGGTTCAAAAGAAGATTTGAAAAACAAGCTCAGAGTTTTAGAAGAAGATCAATTCTTCCACCCACCTAGAGCCGGAGTCTGTCCAAGGTTTGTGCCTCTGAAAAGGAAGTTTTCAAAGAATGATGTTTGAATGTTTTATCTTTTTATGTGTTTAAATATGTGTAGTCATTGGTGGGTTTTTCTTTCTATCTGTATGTCTCACCCTGTGTTACTGTTGTTGCTACTGTGGCAAAATCAATTGCCCCACAGAAACAAATAAAGAACTTATACAGGCACTTGCTGAGTTAACATGAACTATGTGGTTAGTTAGTAATAAGGGCCGTCTAACAGGAAGACACATGATGAATGTTCCTCTATCTGAGGGGGAAGAGAAAGAGGTATATAAGTATTATCAGCACAATGTAGTTGAAGCTCCCAGTCTCTCTCTGCAGACACTCCACTCCCCACTCCTTCCGTTACCCTGACAACCGTAACGTCAAAACCTCCCTGTCCACAGGTTACTTTCACTTTGTGAGCTCGTCCTGTCGCAGCTTCTTCTTCTGTCCATGTGAAGGTTAGTAAGAGACACTTTTCACTGTTTGACTCCTCAATGACTCTTTGTTCATCTTGTTAGTTTAGTTCAGTAGAAAGAGCAGAAAACTCTACTAACAGTCAACTGAGAACCAACATGGAGGAAGAGTTTCCTCCATCTTACTGTCAGTGTGTCACTGTTCAAAGTAATCAGAGTACTCACTGACAGTACTCAGAGTACTCACTGTATGATTTCTGTCTGTCTTTATGAGCTCACCTTATCAATGTAGTTGAAGTATGTAAAGTGAAAGTAGTCAGTGTACAGAATGGCCTCTGTCAGTGTTGTATTATTATATTAGTGGATGATTATTATTGATGCATTAACATGTAATCACTACTTTAATGTTGGAGTTGCTGCAGGTGGAGCCAATATGAACTACTTCAAATACTTTTGGCTGCTTGAATGTAAAATAATGAATTCTATTTTATAAACTGATCCCATGTTTGAAAAGTAAGCAGGAAGTAAAGCTGTCAGATAAATGCAGCTCCATGAGGCCATCTAGTGGACTGATAGTAGAAGTAGAGCAGCTGATGGCAGCTTTCTGCTCTCATGCTTCCTCAACACTGACCAATGAGAACAAGCAGCATCTCCTCTGGCCAATAACAAACCACTATTGATCCATGTATTGATTAGTTTGCAATGTGTGACAGTGATGAGAAAAGGCCATCAGTAGTTCCCAGAGTTCACAGTCATGTTTTCTAACTGCTTCTTTAGTCTGAGCAACAGTCCAACAAGACAAAGGGATTCAACTGACACTGAGATGAAACAGAGAGAAGCAGCCAATCAGTGGAGAAGCAGCTGATAGTTTTACAGCAGAAATGATGTAAATCAGTGGTTCCCAACCTGAGGGTCGGGACCCCCGCTAATGGTCACCAAAGCTTCATGGGGGGTCTGTAGGTGGGCCTATATCTCAGCATCTGGTTCACTTCTGTGAAGAAAAGTCAATGTAAAGTAAACTGTCTAATAGATCAATGACCAAACATCAGGGACAAGAAAACACTGAATTTGTCCAAAAAGAAGCATATTAAGTATTTATGATTGTTAAAAATGATAAAAGATACATAACACAGACAAACTGTATAAAAAGTTCCCTCAACAGGAAATAATCTGCTCAGAATACATCAGAATCAACTTCAACTTCTTGCAGCTACTGAGTTCAATATTTGGGTTGATTGTACAGTTTTGGATATAATATGAAATATGTATAAAATATGTCCCTCAGTCAGGGGTCGTCAGTTTACTCAGTGATAGAAAAAGGTTGGGAACCACTGATGTAAAGGATGAATGAGTGATGATGAGTTCTCAGTGCTGATCAGTGATTGGACTGATGCTTTCAGCTCTGCTCTCAGTGTTTCCTCTACAGATGAAGGTAGAAAGTCTCTGGGAGCTGATGTGGATGTGAATTCAGCAGCAGCTGCCAAGGTAACAGGATGGATTTTGGATTATTGGACTAGCTGCCACTGCGTGCTCTGACTGGATATAGTAGACTTGGAAAAAGAGCAACATTTCAACTGTTGAGGAGCTTTTCAAAGTCAGTCAAATAGAAGTGAAACAGCAACATGAAGTGTATTCCTCTAGTCTTCAACCAACCCCACAGACTAAAGAGCATTGTGAATGTCATTTCTTAGATACTGCAGCTCAAAGTGCCAACAACATTTCTACTCTGCATGGAAACTGTCAGATGAGTGGATTTAGTATTGAGCTGAATGAGCCGTTTATATCAGCCAGTAGAGTCCTATTGTCCTATTGTGTGTTAGAAATATACAGTCTGCATCTCCAGCATTTACACACTGACAGATGCTAACTTGTATATGTTGGTAAATGAGCATAATTAGCATTAATATTCAGCTATATGGACAATATTTCAGTAATTGTTTGGCTGATTTGGACAATACAGGAGTATTTTATTGGGGTTATTGAGGATGATGAATCAATTTCTGACATTTGTGGCAACATTTCATCTCCCAGTGGCCTGATTTTGAGTATTTTTTCATCAATTATGAGATTATTTACTTGCTTAATTAATGCATAACCACATTGAATAAATATCTGAACACCAATGACAAAGAGCTTCCTAAACTGCAGTTCCAATGTATTATGCATATAAATAACCTAAAAATCAGTGAACCAGAATTTGATCCATCATCCTCAGCAACTCCCAAAACCACTACTATAGTATCTGTTGAAATATTCTCCATACAGACATACATACATGCTTATTAATGCTAATAATGATAATTGAGTTGGAGTCTGTCAGTTTCTAAATGCTGGGGACCTACACTGTACATTTCTAACATAAAACTTTGGTACTCAACATTTCTGAGTTCATGTTGCTGCGAGTCGACTAATCCCTCCAATCAGAGCTGTGTGTGTTTGTCATGTGACTGAGAGGAATGATGGGAAATAATGTGTGATCTCTCCCAGCAGGTTGCTGTGTCTGTGTGAAGGTGTGGGCTCTGCTATGAATCAGTGTGAGGACAGAGAGGAGGGAGTCCCTCCCTCTAAAAGCACTCTGTGTGGGGAACATGACACAAGGACCAAAGCTCAGAGGTGAGATGAGGATCTCTAACTGTCCATGACTCTTCTCCATGTCACAAAGGCTTTGATTCTCCATTTGAAACAAAGACATTTATCTGAGCTAAAGTACGTAGTTGTCAGTATTCAAACAGGGCTGGACGATCTGATCTCAAATCAGTATCAGGAGAAACATTCAGCTTCATAATGAGAAATGTAACAGTAACATGTGTTTGAATCAATCAGAGCAGATTTCCTTCCTCATGTTGCTCACTGCTGATGTTTGTCCTGATTCATTCCAGTCTGACCAGTTCCACATTCTGCTCTTCTGGACTGGACTGGGAGCTGATTGCTCGCTGCTTAGATGTTGTAGCTGCTCTCACTTTAATTATATGGAATTCAGACAGTGTGTTGAAGTGTGTGACATCAGTAAATTGTGTTCAGTAACACGTCCATAATGTCAGTAATTGAAGACATTGTTCTTATTGTCCAGCTCTGTATTCAAACATTTCAAATTATACATCATTTCACAAAGTCTTTGATTCAGTGACAATGTTTCTGAATATGTGAGCTTTAATGAATTTCTTTCTATCAGGATCCATCAGAGACCAGACTGTCCTGAACCTGAACCCAGCTGTGTGTCCATGAAGAGTGATCACTCTATGGATCATCCTATAGAGTTCAAAGATGGCCGCCACTCTGTTGATCAAAGGTGAGGATTTCAAACTGATGATGGAAATAAAAGGATGTGTTTTTATCAGACTCTCAGTTGTGAGATCTCTATTTTTAAATGTTTTAAAATGTATTTAATGAACGGTGATGGTTTTTGTCTGATCAGTTCAATTTACAACAGCCTCAGTTTCACAGTGAACAAATAGTTGCAGCAGTTTATAGAAACTCACTGCTTTGACACCTCGTCTGTTCCTCTTTTTATCCTAATTGGACCGATATGGTCACTCCACTCCATCATTTCCCCGCCTATACTGCACACTGCACTGAATACAGCTTTAAAATACACAGTTAAACATGTCTAAATCAAACACTGACTTTATAGAAATCCTAACCAAGAACTCCCTGGGTACAAATACACTGTGTACAGTCGGTGTATTCAGTCACTGGTTCTGTCTCAGTGTGTTGTGGGTGCAGTGCAGAACTGATCCTGTTTTTCTATCAGGAGGAAAAAACCTGAACCCAGCTGTGTGTCCATGAAAAGTGATGACTCTATGGATCGTTATATAGAGTTCAAAGATGGCCGCCACTCTATTGATCAAAGGTGAGGATTTCAAACTGATGATTGAAATAAAAGGATGTGTTTTTATCAGACTCTCAGTTTTTCAACCTTTACTGACTCAGATGAAGTTCTCTGAGCACCAACACTCTTTTCCAGCAGCAGCTGCCTCACACTCACACAGTCAAACACATTCACACTGGGAGCTGCCCAGTACAACCAGTCTGATACAAGCAGACACTGAGCAGCTCCACTGGAGCAGCTGGAGGCTCTAGATGCCTTGCTCCAGGGCACTTCAGCAGTGTACAGTGAGTGAGGGAGAGCTATATGGAGGGGTTGGTGAGAGCTGTTGGGACTGAACCAAACTGAGCTGTTGATTCTCAGTGGGATCGGCAGGACTAGTAAACCTTTACCACTACAGGGAGTCATCAGATTCACTGTTCACATCCAAATATCACTTCATGGACCTTTACCTTGTGTTTGTCTCTGTGTGGACAGACATAATGTGTGCTCATTCTTCATGATTCCTCCACAGAGTGGACCAGGAGAGCTCAGAGGTTCCCAGTGGTCATTCTGCCCAGCAGCATCAAACACACCTGGACTCCATATTTATGGTCTGCACATGGACAATAACTACTTTTACATCTATTGTGTTCACAATAATCTCCATGCTGCACTTTTTAGACCAGTGGATTGTCAGTCTGTCCAACATGGATCTGATGTTTGCTTCCATGATTTGACTTTGATTGAGTCATTCATATAATATTCTGTTCCAGCTGCTGGAGGACAACATTGTCACTTTTGTGAAGAACGAGCTGAAGAAGATCCAGCAGGTTCTGAGTTCAGATTACCCAGAATGCTTGGAGATTCAGAGGGAGGATGAGGTGGTGTTGGACGGTGAGGATGAGGAGCAGAGGAAGAGCAGCAGAGAGGCATTTCTGAAGATCACAGTGCTCTTCCTGAGGAGAATGAAGCAGGAGGAGCTGGCTGACTGTCTGCAGAGCAGTAAGAGGATTTCTCTAAAGATTTAACTCGCTGGATAAACGAGACATTTACTGATGTCTCAACAGACCGACCAAAATATATTCACATACTCATTCTTTAAAGCCAAAATTGGTCACAACTCACAAATTAAAATGCATAAGAACGCCATGATAATTCATTGTATTAAAAATTTCAAAAATAATCATATTTTATTTAAATATACAAAGAGAGACCACTCCTTTTCTTCTGGCTGATGTGTTGCTAACTTCTGTTTCAGTATTTTATAAATGTAAATATAATATATATATATATATATATATATAATATTTTTTAAAGGAAGGTTTCAGACCGCAACCTGTCTGCACGAGGGTTCACAGAAAACATGCATTAAATAGCGGCTGCCTCCAGGTGTGTGCCACCAGCAGTTTAACACAGTGAAATGCGGCAGAGGATGTGTGCTTGGATATGGGCAACAACCACTTCCCCTCATTGAAATGACTGGTGGCAGTAAGTTAGCACCATAACTTTTGGTCTCAGGAAAAAACAAAATAGATATTTTCTATCTGAGCTGAACATTTTTCTGCTTTAGGGGAATGAAATATTTTATTTATCAATCACTTAATGATCATATTTTCTGTGTCTTCATTAAGAACATCTTGTTGGAGTTTGTCAGCGTGGACTTAAATCTAACCTGAAGAAGAAGTTCCAGTGTGTGTTTGAGGGGATTGCTAAAGAAGGAAACCAAACCCTTCTGAACCAGATCTACACAGAGCTCTACATCACAGAGGGAGGGACTGCAGAGGTCAATGATGAACATGAGGTCAGACAGATTGAAACAGCATCCAGGAAACCAGACAGACCAGAAACAACAATCAGACAAGAAGACCTCTTTAAACCCTCACCTGGAAGAGATGAACCAATCAGAACAGTGATGACAAAGGGAGTGGCTGGCATTGGGAAAACAGTCTTAACACAGAAGTTCACTTTGGACTGGGCTGAAGACAAAGCCAACCAGGACATAGAGTTCACATTTCCATTCACTTTCAGAGAGCTGAATGTGCTGAAAGAGAAAAGGTTCAGCTTGGTGGAACTTGTTCATCACTTCTTTAGTGAAACCAAAGAAGCAGGAATCTGCAGGTTTGAAGAGTTCCAGGTTGTGTTCATCTTTGACGGTCTGGATGAGTATCGACTTCCTCTGGACTTCAACAACACTGAGATCCTGACTGATGTTACAGAGTCCACCTCAGTGGATGTGCTGCTGACAAACCTCATCAGGGGGAAACTGCTTCCCTCTGCTCGCCTCTGGATAACCACACGACCTGCAGCAGCCAATCAGATCCCTCCTGAGTGTGTTGACATGGTGACAGAGGTCAGAGGGTTCACTGACCCACAGAAGGAGGAGTACTTCAGGAAGAGGTTCACAGATGAGGAGCAGGCCAACAGAATCATCTCCCACATCAAGACCTCACGAAGCCTTCACATCATGTGCCACATCCCAGTCTTCTGCTGGATCACTGCTACAGTTCTGGAGAAAGTGTTGAAGACCAGAAAGAGAGGAGAGCTGCCCAAGACCCTGACTGAGATGTTCATCCACTTCCTGGTGGTTCAGTGCAAACTGAAGAACGTCAAGTATGATGGAGGAGCAGAGACAGATCCACACTGGAGTCCAGAGAGCAAGAAGATGATTAAATCTCTCGGGAAACTGGCTTTTAAGGAGCTGCAGAAAGGCAACCTGATCTTCTATGAATCAGACCTGACAGAGTGTGGCATCGATATCAGAGCAGCCTCAGTGTACTCAGGAGTGTTCACACAGATCTTTAAAGAGGAGAGTGGACTGTACCAGGACAAGGTCTTCTGCTTCGTCCATCTGAGTGTTCAGGAGTTTCTGGCTGCTCTTCATGTCCATCTGACATTCATCAGCTCTGGAGTCAATCTGCTGGCAGAACAACAAACATTCTTCATTTCTTTATTATTTAAAGACAAACAGAATCTCAAACATCTCCACCAGAGTGCTCTGGACAAGGCTTTACAGAGTCCAAATGGACACCTGGACTTGTTCCTCCGCTTCCTCCTGGGTCTTTCACTGGAGACCAATCAGAATCTCCTGCGAGGCCTGCTGACACAGACAGGAAGTAGCTCTCAGACCAATCAGGAAACAGTAAAGTACATCAAGAAGAAGTTGGAGGAAGATCTCTCTGCAGAGAGAAGCATCAATCTGTTCCACTGTCTGAATGAACTGAATGATCATTCTCTAGTGGAGGAGATCCAACACTACCTGAGTTCAGGACGTCTCTCCACAGATAAACTGTCTCCTGCTCAGTGGTCAGCTCTGGTCTTCATCTTACTGTCATCAGGAAAAGATCTGGACGTGTTTGACCTGAAGAAATATTCTGGTTCAGAGGAGGCTCTTCTGAGGCTGCTGCCAGTGGTCAAAGCCTCCAACAAAGCTCTGTAAGTACAGAGAGTTGGATTTCTATATTATTACTAAAATACCCTGTTATCTTTTAAACTTACAGATTGTTTTGCTTTATTATTGTATTAATATCACAAATGTTATTGCTCTTAATGTTTATTATTGTCCCTTCAGACTGATTGACTGTAACCTCTCAGAGAGAAGCTGTGATGCTCTGTCTTCAGTTCTCAGCTCCCAGTCCTCTAGTCTGAGAGAGCTGGACCTGAGTAACAACGACCTGCAGGACTCAGGAATAAAGCTGGTGTCTGCTGGATTGACGAGTCCACACTGTAAACTGGAAACTCTTAGGTCAGATCAAGTTAGTTTGCTTAAGTCATATATTATATATATTTCATATTATATTTCTTTAAACTATTGCCTCCTTGCAGTGTAAACACTCTTATCTTAAAATTTCTTAATCATTAAATTTGGCCATCAGGACTTCACATTTTCAACCATTAATATCCAGGTACTACTGAACCAGAGGAACTAATCTCAGGAAGTAAACTAGAGTCTAAAAGTAGAAGTCCTTCTGTGTGTTTCCACTGCATCAGAAGAACCTTAAAGAACAGGCTAATTAAACCCATGACAGATAAAAAAAATAATGGTAGTGTTTGAAACACAATATTTATATATATACCACTGATATTTATGGTTTTGTGACTCTGATGTTTGATACAATGAATTAATGAAAAGCAGAAGTGCAGAGGGTCAAACACAGACTGAAAACATTAGTATCTCCACAGTGACCATCTGCTGACAGTTTAATGGTTATTAAGTGTTACTTTAGAAAGTAACTAATGTGAAACAATCCAAACAGTAATAGTTTTATTTCTCTTTTCTTTGTCCACTCTACTGCCGCTTTCTCTCTCATTGACTCTTTCTATGGAAAAGAGATTATGGTAACACTTTCAAAAAAATGACTGAATTAATGCTTAACTAATATGTCAATATATTAAAATATATAAACGAATGAGTCATGATGATTTAATGCATGGATTAATGCAGGATGTGTCATGAATTCATGTTTCCTGTTACTCTGACTAAATGTGAATAATCCACATTCAACAGATCATCAATTTAGGAATGTCAATGAACAGTTCATACATGAATATGTGACCAAATGATCTGGATGCATCTTACATAAAAGAGCATTTCTGACCATGTATCTACTCAGCCTTTCTGACAAAAATATTTCTATGAGAATAGAGCCAACGGTATTTTGATAAAGTCATAAGAGTGCCTGGAACATTGTGTGTGTGTTGGGTTATAATAGAACGATCAGACATGTTTAAGCTCTACACAAGTGCCATGGACCTACCCAATAAATTCACAACCGAGTGAAAAGACACATGAAGTGTTCGTCATTACCTAATAATAATTACTGCATCAAAACTTCACACATATGGTCACCATTACTAACCTGACTTTTGTCCCAAAAATAAAATCATGTTGTGATACTCATTTCTAAATCGTTACTTAATAAAGCTTCACTAAAAGGAAGTGTATGCCATTTTAAATTCTTCACAAAGTAATTCTTGAGTCGTCATTCGGTCACTATTACTTCATTATCTGTGCACTTATTTGTTTCCCCCTGAATGCTGAAATACAGAAATACTTAAAGTCATTCTTTTTAATTATGGAAACTTTATTACTATCAAATAGTTAGTGGCCAGTTACATTTAACGACACAATTATTTGTGTTCACCTCTCCCCTGTTAGAGGGTTTAAAAAATGAGCTGCAGGAGAAAAAAAAACTTATCAAACTATTAAATCTTTCAGAAATTAAACATGGAGTTTATTCAGAGATCTTTCGATCTCAAAGTTCAGTAAAACTCGATGAAGATTAAACTTTATCTACTGTTCATCCAACTCACAGTGTCTCTGGTTCAGCTGTTCATTTGAACATCAAAAGGTGTATCACTCTTCACTCTACACAATGATTACTGCCACCAATAACTCTTTGAATGTACATATGGCATGTGGCTGTTGTTTTAAGACACACTTGAACAAATGTGGATGCGTTTAATGACATTTACTTACTAAGCTACAACATACAGTAAGAAGGTCTTAATAAAGGTAATACATAAAGCTGTAGTTATAGTTGTAATGACAAAGTCACTCTACTCATTTTAGAGAAAAGTTCATTGATTAGGACATAGTAATGTTGATCTCCACATTTAAAACCTGAACACATCTGATTGGATTATAAATTATTTTTATCTTCATCTTTTATTCTTTATTTAGATTGTGGAGCTGCAGGTTGTCAGAGATCAGCTGTGATTATCTGCTCTCAGCTCTGAAGTCCAACCCCTCCCATCTGAGAGAGCTGGAGCTGAGTCACAACTACAAGCTGCAGGATTCAGGAGTGAAGCTGCTGTGTGGTTTTCTGGAGAGTCCACACTGTAGACTGGAGACTCTGAGGTCAGACACCATTTGTTCCTTCTGTGCTGAGATTAATATGATGTGAAAGTTGTGCTGACAGTAAAGTGCAGACATAAGGCTGATATTATACTGATCCACACTGAGTATCTTAATGCTAAAGTCTGTTTTCTTCTTCAGTGGTTTAGTCCATTGACTGTGGCAGAGCAATATTGAGCTCCACATTTAAAACCTGAATATAACAAGAAGAATCTACACTGAATAATTCACTCTTTATTTCCATCTTATATTCCCCATCATGTGTTTTAAAAGAAATGATGACAATAAATACAATGAATAAATCAATAATCTCTATTTCAACTATCAGACAATAACAAGTAATAATGTAATTCTTATCATTATTATTAGTTTATTATTATTATTATTGTTATCATTATTAATATTTTATTATTATTATTGCTATTATTATAAACATTATTATTGCTATTATTATTATCATTATTATTATTATTATTATTATTATTATTATTATTATTATTATTATTATTATTATTATTATTGTGTTACTTTAGGTTAGAGGGTAGGTCCTGTCATTTTATTTATTAATTTGTTATTTTAAATGTGTTTATGTTAAATGGAATAATCTTCCACTTTCTTTGAGATTATTTAGTATTGTATGAGTTTATCCCAAAATCCATCCTGACATATTTGGTATCTTTGTAAACTTTAGGATCTTGAGTGGAACCTTCAATCAGTTTCTGTGGGTTTTTCTTTGTGTTTGGCTGCACAACATGAGTTTGTATAGATGGAGCCACTGGTGGAGCTGGCAGAGGTTAAGAGCTGAAGTCACTACGTCTTTATTGAAGCAGCAGCACGTTGTCATTAATATTAATGAGAGCTCTTTTTCACTCTTTGTATTTTACTATCTTACTTATTCTATCAGAAGAAATAGATACGCTCAAGGAGGATTGATGGAACAGGACAACGGTTTGAAAAGAGTAGTAACAAATAGCTTTATTGGCAGCAGTGCCACCTTTAAGTGCAAAACATAAAATATTTCAGATATGACTGAATTCCTTTCTTGTATCAGAAGTTATCAACAAGTCAGAAAATGACACTGAATAATGCTCAGTAGAAAACAAAACTCTTCACAGTATGAGTTATGAAATATATGGGCCCAAAATAATCAACAGACCAGAGAGAAAATTCAAAAGAGTCCAAAAACAGAAAAAGTCTGAATGAAGTCAATATTCACAGTTTGTCCTTCTTCAGTGTGTTTGTGTGATAGTTCATCTACCCGGGTAGTGTGACTTTATGTTTTATTATCTGTATGAAGAGATGTTCTCTCCAATGCACAGTGAAGCTCTCGCTGACGTCACACCCTCCACGATCCAATGGGCTTGGTTCTGGCTCGCCATCAGAATCCACTCATACAATAAAACCAACCTGCATAGAGCAGTAGTAGTAGCATCTCTTCAATACAATCTTATTCATCTCGTTAATCTCTCTTTATCTATTTATCTTAACTGTACAGTATTAACTCTTTTTATCTTAAATCAATGAACATGAATTATTCAATGACAAAGTTTCATACACAATAACTTTAACAGCCAACACACAATTATATATATAAATCTTTAAATGCTTTTAACTCATCACAGCTTAATGTACACAAATCATGAAATGAATGACTTTCAATCATGTTTTTATCAAGAAAATGAAATGAATTATCTTCTGTAAACTCAAGTTCACACAGCTGTGTGTGTTTGAGCTCAACAACCAGCTTTCTTAGCTGTATAACAGGTGCTAGTGCTATTAACACAGCTCAACATGTTTATCTGTCTCCGGTTGGTTTTTAAACACTATCACAGAATCATAACTATACACAGTGGAGACATATTCAATAAAATAAGTAATTATCTGTGAGCGGCATCGCTAATCCTTCATAGCATTTACTGACCGGAGTTTTCACTGGATAATAATCAATATCCACACGGTCAGCTTTGACAAGAAAAACCCTCTTCCTTGTACGGAAGTCCTCCAAAATGGTCATTTTAACAACTTTACAGTCAGTTATCAACTTTATTAAACTCGCTCTCTCTCACGTGGAGCTCTGGTTTGTATCGGTGCATGAAAAATAAACAGAGAAAGAAACAAGGAAACTAAACAACTACATCTGAAATCTACTAGACTGTATAGTTCTACACATTGTTAAACTGTGAACATTGGGGATTACACTGTGTGTGTAACTAATGGGTGTTACATTTATTCTTTATTCAGATTGAGGGGCTGCAGGTTGTCAGAGATCAGCTGTGATTATCTGATCTCAGCTCTGAAGTCCAACCCCTCCCATCTGAGAGATCTGGACCTGAGTAACAACAATCTGCAGGATTCAGGAGTGAAGCTGCTGTCTGATCTTGTGAAGAGTCCACACTGTAGACTGGAGACTCTGAGGTCAGTTCACTGACTCTCTGTTACTGTTGTAGATCTGATATGTTTAATTAACAACTGAACCTAATTTATGTTCATACATAACTTCCATCCATAAAGTTGTAAAGTTGCTTTTGTTCATATTTTAATGTTTGTTGAACTAAATTTAGTCTGCAGTCACAAAGACTTGTGTTTGTTAAAGAAACTGTAGAAAATGTCCACTGTTAGTTGTTAAAGTAAATGAATGTTTATAATTGTTGGTAAATGGTCACATCTGGATACAGAAGATCCTCTGAACTAATATTTGTTTTTATTAACGTCTGATCAATGATATTGATCCTACAGAACACACACACACACACACACACACACACACACAGAGTTTCCAATTAATTGGCTGAACCCCCCCCCCTAGTTTCATCATGAACCAAAAATATTTTAACATTTCTCTCTAACATTGTGTTTTCCTCCGTTGCTTTAGCAAAGCGTCTCTCACTCAGTAAAAGTATCTGTGATGGATAATCTAGTGACAATCTGCCCTCGCTCTGCCCCTCCTGTACAGTCTACTGACAGTCACCCTGCAGAGACACAGAGACAGACGCTCTCTGTGCAGATACAGTCTTTATTTTAACCAGTGCAGACCAGATAAAGCAACAGTGAACAGCAGTGAACACATCAGCTGGTGCCAATAGATTCGTTACCACGTTGGTTTTGATGGTTTTGATTGGCTACATCATTAACAACGAGCCTCCTCCACACATTGTTCACTTGCTGATGTAGAAACAGAATTGAATTGAATAGTGATATACACCAATCAGCCATAACATCATGACCACTGACAGGTATTCTAGGCCTGACTGAGATCAGCAGCATGCTGTTAATCAGGGTTGACATGAATAGGTGTATTAATGTTGTGCTGACATTATGATGATCCACAATAACACAATGACAAAGTCACTCTACTCATTTTAGAGAAAAGTTCATTGATTAGGACATAGTAATGTTGATCTCCACATTTAAAACCTGAACACATCTGATTGGATTATAAATGATTTTATCTACATCTTTTATTCTTCATTCAGATTGATTTACTGCAATTTGTCAGAGATCAGCTGTTATTATCTGGTCTCAGCTCTGAAGTCCAACCCCTCCCATCTGAGAGAGCTGGACCTGAGTAACAACAATCTGCAGGATTCAGGAGTGAAGCTGCTGTGTGGTTTTCTGGAGAGTCCACACTGTAGACTGGAGACTCTGAGGTCAGTAGAGGGTTGGAGTCAGTCCATGCTGGTAACAACTTGTTTGTTACACTATAACAATAAGTCACAGTACAGGAAAAAGTTCACAGACTCATATTTACCTCTTGTTGATCACAAAAGTTCAAACCCTTAGGATAACTAATCAGCTTCTGCCTTTCTCCACAAACACCAGAGCTAGCAGGGTACGACTAAGTACTCTCTACCTGAGAATGTAATTTGGTTGGCTGTTTAATCCAGAACAGTCCAATTACAATAAAGAAACACAAAGATTGACATATCATGCATGAACCAGGTTAGGCTGTAAGGCTGAATACAGTGTGTAATACAGATACATATAAAACAAACTATGTTAATCTACATGAACTTCATCCTTTGACCTCTGAACTGTAGAGATTATACATCTTATATTTAAACACATATTTAACCTTCCATTTACATTTGAAACAGTATTTATATCCATGTTTTTAACCATATTTATACATGTTAAACCTCTCTTTTTAAACTATTTACTGTCTAACCCTAACCCTAACCCTATCCACATCTTGAAGTCTAAAAGTATTTTATCCAGGGCTACATTTAATTAACAACTGAACCTAATTTATGTTCATACATAACTTACATCCATAAAGTTGTAAAGTTGCTTTTGTTCATATTTTAATGTTTGTTGAACTAAATTTAGTCTGCAGTCACAAAGACTTGTGTTTGTTAAAGAAACTGTAGAAAATGTCCACTGTTAGTTGTAGGGATGCACGATAACTTTTTTTTAAAACCGATACTGATAACACACACACACACACACACACACACACACACACACACACACACACACACACTATACATATATATATGATCATGACCTAAGATCATGACATTAATACTATGAACAAACCCAAAAACACTTTTGACTCTTTCAATGGAGATATTGGCAAGCCTCTTAAAAAACAATAAAGGCCCCTTGAACTGATGCAAATACATGCATTGGGATTACAAACTGAAACTGTTCAAATAAATAAATATATATATATATATAAATATATATATATATTAGGGGTGTCACGATTCTCCAAATCCTCGATTCGATTTAATTTTCGATTTTAAAGTCTTGATTCGATTTTCCTTTTCCTATTCTGTTTCGGGGGGCTTTTATTTTGAAACTGTTCCAACTGCCAGGATGTAAACAGAACAAACATTAAACAGAGAGGTGAACATAGTGAACACAGAATGATGATTTGATTGTTTCAGCACACTCCGAAGAGACCCAAGGTTAGTGTTCATGCAGTATGTTCTTATCAATGTGCATTTTAAGCCTTAAAGTCATTTTGGACTGTAACTAGATCATCTTTTCACTCAGTTCCTGTTAATTGACGTGAATGAACGACAAAATACTTCCACACTGGTGATTTCAGAGCAGCAAGAGGAGCTTCGATTTCAGTCAGTTGATGTATTGATTGGTTGTATTTTTTAACTGGCTGCAGCCTAAAGTTCGAGATTGAGATGTAATTTCGATCGATTTCGATTTTAAATCGAAACCGTGACACCCCTAATATATATATATATCGATCGCATCATACTGCTGGAAGGCACACATCAGAAAGGTAGCGGCAGCTCGGCAATGTAAACCGTGGCTCCAAGTGATCAATCAGGCGAGAAAAGTGCCATCATCTCCATCCTCATATGCTTTCAACACTCTGTCGAAGCGATGGCTGTCTCATAGTGAGAGTGGGGCACTGTGCTGACACCATTATATATGTTATCGGGGCTATTCGTCATGATATCGGACTTATCGGTATGACGTAATAATTTCCTGTATCGGCCCGATAATTGTTGTGCACCCCTAGTTAGTTGTTAAAGTAAATGAATGTTTATAATTGTTGGTAAATGGTCACATGTGACAAATTGAAAATATAATAAATAAATCAATAATCTGTATTTCAACTATCAGACAATAACAAATATATTCAGTATTTGCTGTTTCCAACATTGTTATGAAGCTATATGATGTTTATACTGACTGAATAGTTTAAACTGAAGATGCTTTGATTTTATGACTCCACTATTCCTAAAAGAAATATTGTAGATGTCTTTTGTTCACATTTTCTAAACTTGTACATTCTAAACCTTCTTCAGCTCTGAACAGATTATTAAACACTGAATGATTTCAAGCAGGAACATTGTCTTCTAAACTTACATCTTTTATTCTTTATTCAGATTGTGGGGCTGCAGGTTGTCAGAGATCAGCTGTGATTATCTGGTCTCAGCTCTGAAGTCCAACCCCTCCCATCTGAGAGAGCTGAACCTGAGTAACAACAAGCTGCAGGATTCAGGAGTGAAGCTGCTGTCTGACCTTGTGAAGAGTCCACACTGTAGACTGGAGACTCTGAGGTCAGTAGAGGGTTGGAGTCAGTCCATGCTGGTTTCAGCAGTATTGTACTAAACACAGTTAGTATCAAAGCAAAGATCCAGTATTTGCTGCTTTCCTCAGTGAAGCTGTGAAAGGAGGATGGTGACAGACTTCAGGGTTGGACAGAAAGACAGAGAGAGACTGTAAACACTGATTATTGACTTCTGTTGTCTGTCTTCTTCTCTCCTCAGATGGAAGTGATCTCAGTCAGAGTGTGAGTGGTGAGGAAGGAGGTTGTGTTGGAGGATCCGCTGTGTCCTGATGATCCAGAGAGGTTGAAGCAGCAGCATCAGCTCTGACTGGGCCATGTTACTGGGAGGTAGAGTGGAGAGGAGAGCTTCATCCAGCAGTGACTGACAGAGGAATCACAACCAGTGGAGATGACTCTCAGTGCTGCAGTCTGAACTGCTCTGAGATCAGCTCCACTGTCAGACACAATGTCAAGTCCACCATCATCCCTGTGTGTTCCTCTGGATGTGACAGAGTATCATCAGTGTATCTGGACTGCTCTGCTGCTGCTCTGTCCTTCTACACAGTCTCTGCAGACACACTGAGACTCCTCCACTCCTTCTGCTCCACACTCAACCACCTCCTCCACCTGGAACCTCCACCTGGATTTTATTCTTTCATTCATTCACATATTCTGAACCCAAACTGCCTCTACACATTCATTCTGTTTATGACAACAGAACTGTAGATGAACACTTACTTAAACACATTTCTTTAAACAGAGTTGCAGTTAATGTTAATTATATTTCTAATTAATTTTGTTGAAACTTTAAAATCAGCCTGCATATATAGTTACCTCTCTGGAGTTCTGGTTATTACCAGATACAGATTTATTGTAACACACAGAAATAAGAATATTAAACATGTAGAAAGTTTGGATTTAAGTTAACAGGATTATCATTATTAGTAAAAGATTATATACAGTTACACTTTAAAACACTGCAAAGTCTGGAGATAATTATCTGTGGGTTTGTCTTTGGAAACGACCTCCCTTTGTTTCACGTTCTCATTTGATCTATTGTTAATATAAAAATATTGATTCAAGTCTTTTTTAGTTCCTGAAATATCTCTGAATTTTGGTGGGAAATCAGTGCCGTCTCAAACGTCAGACACACACTGAACACCACAACATTTTAATAACTTGTTGCGTAATATTGTTTCAGTTTTGACATGATACAAACATAATAACTATAACCTTTGGTGTCATTATCAGTGAATATATAGATGTATGTTCCTTTTTTAAAATATATATTGTATTGACAGTTATTATATTATTGCGACAAAAACAGATCCTGATATTCAAATCTAATTTTGTATTGTCTGTATTATTCGTTTTTTTTCTCCAAAAAATAGAAAAACTATTAAAATGCAATGCAAAGAGATGTGTTCTACTTATTCTTTTATATATGTTTATAATCATTTCTGGTATTGATGTTGTGTCACATTATATGGATACATTTGAAATTCAAATTGAGATTTTCCTTGTAAATATTCTTTCAATAGGATGAACTGAAACTGGTGAAACAGAAAGGATGATGCAGGAATCGAACCTGCACCACCGCTGTACGGCCTTACCTCACAACCCTGAAGGTCCGAATGTCAGACTATCACAGTGGCATGTGAATGCAGCACAGAAACAACACACCTGCACACAGCTGTAGTTTAATCTTTTATCTGTACACAATGTAAACATTAATAACGCACACACACTATATCTTTATATCTTTAACATCACTCAGCAGAGCAGTTAAAGACATTTTACTCCAATACGCAGTAATTCTTTACAAAAGAAACACATTAGAGTCACCGTCAGTCGTTATATGTACAAAATATTCACACGCAGCATCTGGCCCCGCCCACAACACCTGACATCACAGTGACATCACCTGAGCCGCTTACAGTCAGTCAGTATAATGCTGATTATCATCAACCTGGTTATTGATCTGGCAGGTTTCTGATCAACTGAGTCAAAAAAAGAGTAAAGTTTTAGTATTTTAAGCCTTCGTTTGTCAAATGAATAATGTTAATGAAGCGTTTATTATCACAGCCGACTGATTCCTCATGGTTTTATTAGCACTTCCTGGGAACACCTTACTAATTTCACTGATTTTCATAAATGTTTTTCTTCCACATTCATCAGTTCATGGTAGAACAATTCCTCTAAAAGTATCTTTGATATTCTGCTGAAAATAAAAAGGATTTGATTAAGAGATCCTCATCGAAATGTTCATCAATATATATCTGTGATCAGTCGAATCCATCCCATAATATCAGGTAGACTTTATTCTTTATTGCAGGTTTGTAGTTTGTCCTTGTTTAGCTCCAGAAACCTGGATCAGGTGCTGACGTGCCACCGTACAGGGGTAATAATCCGGTTAAACCAGGGACCACCAAAGCCTCACATTCAGCCTGCAGAATATATTACAATATTTCTATATTCATATTATAAGTGTTGTGAAGTTAAATGACATTAAAAGCTCTTCTCTGTATTATTCTTTTATTAAATGCTTTGTTTCACTGCCTGACTGGTGGAGGGATAATCTAGTTATCAGTCAGTTATCAGAGTGTGTTCACACCGATATAGGATCATTCAAATATCACTCATAAAGAAGCTCTGGCCGTCGGTCAATGTGGTCGAAGATCCCGGATTCAAACCACAATCATCTGTTCCCTGTGGTGGTCCGCCGCCCCGTCAGGTCGTCTCCTGCGCGTCCGAACTGACGGAGAGCCGGTCCGACCGGTCTGCCGTGATCCAGTTTCCAGTCTGTGTGTGGTTTGGTCCCGGTGGTTCACACGGTGGAGGGCTTCATCAGAGCCTGATCCCCAAACAGCTGCTTGAAGTGAACCACATGCTCCTCACAGTGCTCTCCTGGTAACACACACACACACACACACACACACACACACACACACTGTAGACTTGGATTAGAGGAACACAGGATTGAGTCAGGACACCCTGGGGGAGTAAGGAACTACAGGTGTTACACTATATTATATTCTATCATTAGATTATTATTACTGCTGTATTTGGCTGTTGTAGCTGCTCAGGTGGAGCTGATTTCAGGTGGAGCAATTATTATTGTCATTGATCTAAATTGTCCAACTTGAGAATATATTGAGAAATGCCTGTTACAATCATCCAGAGCCCACAGTGACACAATATTGTCTGACCAACAGTTCAAAGCTGAACATAGTAAAAGTAGTAATACTACACTACAGAAATACTCCATTACAACTTAAAGTGCTGCATTAAAACAGTTCCTCAGTTACAGAAGTATTATCAGCACAATGTAGTTGAAGCTCCCAGTCTCTCTCTGCAGACACTCCACTCCCCACACCTGTTGTTGCCCTGACAACCGTGACGTCACAGCCACTCCCTGTCCACAGGTTACTTTCACTTTGTGAGCTTGTCGTGTCGCAGCTTCTTCTTCTGTCCATGTGAAGGTTAGTAAGAGACACTTTTCACTGTTTGACTCCTCAATGACTCTTTGTTCATCTTGTTAGTTTAGTTCAGTAGAAAGAGCAGAAAACTCTACTAACAGTCAACTGAGAACCAACATGGAGGAAGAGTTTCCTCCATCTTACTGTCAGTGTGTCACTGTTCAAAGTAATCAGAGTACTCACTGACAGTACTCAGAGTACTCACTGTATGATTTCTGTCTGTCTTTATGAGCTCACCTTATCAATGTAGTTGAAGTATGTAAAGTGAAAGTAGTCAGTGTACAGAATGGCCTCTGTCAGTGTTGTATTATTATATTAGTGGATGATTATTATTGATGCATTAACATGTAATCACTACTTTAATGTTGGAGTTGCTGCAGGTGGAGCCAATATGAACTACTTCAAATACTTTTGGCTGCTTGAATGTAAAATAATGAATTCTATTTTATAAACTGATCCCATGTTTGAAAAGTAAGCAGGAAGTAAAGCTGTCAGATAAATGCAGCTCCATGAGGCCATCTAGTGGACTGATAGTAGAAGTAGAGCAGCTGATGGCAGCTTTCTGCTCTCATTCTTCCTCAACACTGACCAATGAGAACAAGCAGCATCTCCTCTGGCCAATAACAAACCACTATTGATCCATGTATTGATTAGTTTGCAATGTGTGACAGTGATGAGAAAAGGCCATCAGTAGTTCCCAGAGTTCACAGTCATGTTTTCTAACTGCTTCTTTAGTCTGAGCAACAGTCCAACAAGACAAAGGGATTCAACTGACACTGAGAGGAAACAGAGAGAAGCAGCCAATCAGTGGAGAAGCAGCTGATAGTTTTACAGGAGAAATGATGTAAATCAGTGGTTCCCAACCTGAGGGTCGGGACCCCCACTAGTGGTCACCAAAGCTTCATGGGGGGTCTGTAGGTGGGCCTATATCTCAGCATCTGGTTCACTTCTGTGAAGAAAAGTCAATGTAAAGTAAACTGTCTAATAGATCAATGACCAAACATCAGGGACAAGAAAACACTGAATTTGTCCAAAAAGAAGCATATTAAGTATTTATGATTGTTAAAAATGATAAAAGATACATAACACAGACAAACTGTATAAAAAGTTCCCTCAACAGGAAATAATCTGCTCAGAATACATCAGAATCAACTTCAACTTCTTGCAGTTACTGAGTTCAATATTTGGGTTCATTGTACAGTTTTGGATATAATATGAAATATGTATAAAATATGTCACTCAGTCAGGGGTCGTCAGTTTACTCAGTGATAGAAAAAGGTTGGGAACCACTGATGTAAAGGATGAATGAGTGATGATGAGTTCTCAGTGCTGATCAGTGATTGGACTGATGCTTTCAGCTCTGCTCTCAGTGTTTCCTCTACAGATGAAGGTAGAAAGTCTCTGGGAGCTGATGTGGATGTGAATTCAGCAGCAGCTGCCAAGGTAACAGGATGGATTTT